GCATTTTAGCAGTGCAGTACTTAATGCTCTTCTTTTTAGTCTGCTGTTTTCTGTGCTGCAATATCCAGCCTTACTGGCAAGCTTATCACACTAATTATTATTACATCTAGGGGTTCAGTTATCTTGGTGATTACTACAGATGAAATACCCCAAGGTCAAAATGTTAACAATATAAATCAGGATCTGTTGTATTCCAGGTACACTACACCCTTAAATCAGAATCTGTTAATTTGATTTTTATTTTCCTTGTAAATGTGATATGAAAAAGGTGGACACTTTAATTAAGCTGTATCACCTCTAAAGTTTCTCCTTGACAATTCCCTGAAAGAAGCAGACCTCATGTTGTGAAAATGAGCACAAAACTGCTGCTGTAGTGGGCTCGTTGGTGATGGACATCTTTGATTCAACTTGAGGTACCTGGAAATGACCTGAGACAGCCCAAGTGGTTTTATGCATCCTTCTTAATCCATGCACTTTGCACAGTTTCAAACTACATTTACACATGGGTGTACATGTACATACTACATTTACACATTTGGGTGGCACACGAGCATATAGTAGCTTATGTCCAGACAGTATGAATCAACATAAAACCCAAACAGCCCTGGAAAGCACAGTGCTGACCACATTCATTGCACATCTGAAATGTGTTTAATTTGGAACCAGATCTCCTGCTCTCTTATGTTTTGCCTGATGAGTGCTAACACCTGTATGTGAAAACGACAGTGTCTGCAGATAGATGGACACTGATCCATGTGATGTGGCATAAAAAGTGTTTCCTCTTGTTTTTTATTTGAAACCACCCATGTTTGAAGGGCTAGATCAAGTAAGTTATAAAGAAGCCTAGGGAAGAGCCAGTGGGGGGCATTGCTTCACACGAAAGAGAAGCATTAAGGGCTCAGTCACCAGGGTTTTCTGCAGAAATGGTGCCTCTCCTTTTATTTGTTCCTTGTTTTGCATATTAGGGCAGAGCTGGTACCTGGTGTTGTTGACATGTAAGGACGCTGAAGTATCTTCTCTGGAGGTGTTTCTGTTGGACCAGCCAAAGAGCCCAGAGCAGAAGACAATTCATGGGGTGACTTGTGGTTTGCATGTTCTATATGAGCAATGTCAGGCTGATGAGAAGGACCTCTCATGAGCAGTGGTGTTAAGTGTCAGTGTGTCATTTTCCCAGGGAGTCTTTAGACTCAGGAGGTATGTTAAGGAGAAAATTAATTACATCCTCAGGAATCCTGCCTTGCACAGGAGCCAATGGATCATCTTTAGAACAAATGCATGTTGCAGTGAGTTGCCAGATTCCTTGGGAGGCAGGGACCTGGCCCTCAGACACTGGGGCTTCCCTTGGTGGGCAGACGTGGTGGCCATGGGTCTTCCTGGTGAGCCCCTCATCTCCAAGGGATGATTATTTCCTCAAGGAGGGTGGGAATGGATCAGGAGCAATGGCAGCACATAAGAATGAGACAACAAGCTCCTGCTGGTTAATGTGCTTTTAACAGGGCTGTTCTGCACAGGAAGGATCTTACTTTGCATCATTTAAACAACACCTGCTTGCTGTTTGGCTGTGGAGTAGCTGACATGCAGTGTTTGAGGCCATCTACGTGTGTTTTTTAAAATGTCATCTGTATTAGTATTACATTCAAGGGACAGCACCAAGAAACAGGTTCTTTCAAGACCTTCTGCGACATGTAAGTCTGTGACAAGTGACATTACAGAAGGTCATGTCACTTTTAACTGCTTGCATTAGATCTTTCTGATTTCCCCAGTGCCCTTCCTTTGTTTGATTAATACTGCTTGATTTCAAGCAAGGTATTGGAAAGCATAATTTAGAGTGAGTATACTAGGGGCAATCTTAAGATTCTTGCCATAGAATTTTTAATAAAATAACTCAAATGTTTCTTTTTATCTTCATATGCATTTTCCTGTCCTCCCTGTCTCCTCCCCCTCCATCATTCCTTCCCCAGGTACAATGCTTGCCACAGAGAAGTGTTTTTTCAAACCAAAGCAGCACATGTGCACTTTATTTGAATAACAACAAGGCAGAGTCAAAGGAGAAAAACAAATCCTTCCCCCCCCCCAGTGTTCTTACTACCATGTTAAACTGAAATCTGTTGCATGGATTCACTGTGCCCCTCTTGTACAGCCTTGCTTTGTTCTGCAGAAGTGGGTTGTACCTAAGTATACAGCTTTTTTAAGGCTTTAGCATACTAGTTCTTCATGTATCATAAGATTAGGAAGAATCCACTTCTCCTTGTTGTAATTTCTGACAAAGTTCTGGAAACACTTGCTTCAGTGCTTAAATAAATTGTATTATTGTGTCTGAATACCCATGGTGGGCTTTTTTTCTTGTAACTCTTCTTTTGATTTTCAAGACAAGTGAAAGCATGGGCTGATTTTCATAAACTTTAAGGAATCATTTATGCATGTAGGGCATAGGAGCATTTTTACTACACTTTGTTTTCCTACAGTAATGTTTTATTTTCCAGACAATTCAATACTCTGAAGCTCAGTGTAATTGATGATCTGGCTAACCTAGAAGAAGAGCACAGACTGGTAGTGACTTTTGAGTTAAAAAATGGAATGGAGGAGCTGAGAATCTGGGCTCAGACCTGGGCTTCAAGCGATTTCAAATGATGTTTTATGTCCTTTGAACAAGTTAACATTTTGCTACTCTATAGAAGCTGGTAAAGTAGTTTGAGATCATTAGATGGGAAAGGGAAAAAACTAAAAAAGTGAGGTTGAAATATTATCATTCGGATAATTTAGAATGGGTGCTGTGGTGGAAGTGAATTCCTTGAGGTGCCACCATTTCCAACAGTGTTAGAGGTTTCAGCTGATTTTCTCCATGCTAAACTTCAGCCCTCATGTAAGAAAGGCATTCTGCTGTTCAATCCTGTCAAGACAATGAATTTCTGGATGTACATTAAAGAGATCTGTAAGTGTCTGGGGAATATTAATGTTGATAAGTAAGAGACCTAGTGAGTTTAGTCAGCTCAGGCGTAGGCAGTATCTGAGTCAACAGATTCAGGTTTATACCTTGGGCTTTAGTCACCTAATGATGTAATTACAAACTTCTTGTGTATGTGGTAAAACTGATTTAGGAGGGTTTCCATCTCACTGCAGTCCTTAACAGCTTGTTTCCATCCTCTTTTCTCAGTTCACCATTTTGAAGCTAGCATTTCTGGAGCTGCTTGGTGAACTTGGTGAACTAAAACTGTTCTGTGTAGGAAAGAATTAAAGAGCAGTTGTTCTGTGATTGCTCAGGTCATTCTTCTTCCTTTTTGCTTTTGGACATGCTCACTCTTCACTCTTTCTGTCTCCAGTCTTTTCTTTTGATACTGGTTGGACTTGATGATCTTGAAGGTCTTTTCCAGCCTAAGGGATTCTGTGACTCCAAGCTCAAGGACAGAGCAGCCAGTAAACAGCTGGAGGTTCCTTCCTCTCCAAAGAGTCAGGCTTTTGGTTACAGGTGTCTTGGACTGGGTTCAAACAAAGATGAGCAGCTGAAACTGGGAGTCTTTTGATCTGTGCAGCTGACTTGTATGTATGCAGAGTGCCTAACTCTGTGTGTTACATCAGCCTGTGTGGTGTTTGCATTGTGCATGGGCCCAGGTAAAGCGATTAACTGCCATCTTGATGGGTGAGCTAAATCAGAGAAAGACATCTGAGGCACACATTTTTCTTTTTTAAGCTCTTCTTTCCCTGAATTTGGCTCTTGGAGTGTTAAAGTCCCTTAGTTCTTGGACATGGATTTGGACTTGCTGAGAGCATCCTTAGAGCTGTGTTTGGGGGAGTGATTATGAAGTTATAAATTTAATGTGTTGTCTTTAATGACAGGTATGCTAAAATTGCTTATAGCTTCACCTAGACAGCAACACGAGGTATGATTTTAGTTGATGGCAAGTCTGTAAAATAGGCCAAAGTATTCATGTTTCATATCAATGAATTTTTCCTTTTCTTGTCCTCTTCCTGCACATTTTATAATACATAGCATACACTTTTTGTATCCATAATATGACACTGAGACAGAAGGATCTTCACTGACCTTCATTATGGCAGTTTTAATAAGTACTTACATATACATCAGTATATAAAGAGCTACATTATTTTCTGCTTATAAGGAGGTGAAACTTTATTTCAGTTCCATCAAGAGAGGATCTTCCCCAAAGTGTAGGCTGAAGACTTGATCCCAGTGTTACAAGAGAGAGGTTTGTGAGTTTGGACCCTGAATCTGTCACTAACCATCTTCAGAAAGTCATTCAGTCTCCTTGTAAAGTAGATCTAATAGTGGTTCATTTCATGCACATGCTGTGATTGATAGTTATTAACCTTTGTAGAATTACTTGAATGTGTATTTCATAGTGTTAGGCTGAAAAGACTGTTTAAAAGGAAAAATACGTAGATGCAGACATGTGGCAACTGCAGCTAGCAAAGAAAGTGCAGGAAGTTAGATGCACAGATTGTATAAAATCACTATTAAGACACGCAGTGCTAATGCTGATAAAGCATATGGTTTATATCGTTGTAGATCATAAGGAGATTAGTTAGTATGGATTTATTTCCAGCTTTGTATTCTTCAAAAATCTCCTGGCTGAATGCTCTAATTTTTATTACAAATACTGCAGTTTTCTGTAGGTAGCAGTAAATGTAAAGCAAGGTTCAGTGTGTGCTGCATAGGCACCCATGAAGCTGACAAAGGGTTCCGGTAGCTAAAATGACCAGACATTGAATTTTGAACTACCTTTTAAATACTTAAATTGTCAAACAAGCATCTTGTACAGGAAGAGGTTTCAGTGGATAATTCCCTAATGTAGGTCAATTAAAGCTGTAACACTTTCCTAAATTTGAATCTCCAGCTCAAGTGGTTTTTCCTGGTTGAGCATTTTCCTTCTGTGCATTTATTTCAAATGTTAATAAAGTTTTCATCTACAAAAGGTTTTGAATTGACAGAACAAAACTCTTCCTTTTTAAGTCATGACAACTACTACTGTTTCTGTCTGCAGGTAGTGGAGGACATGCTAGAGGACGAGGAAGAAGAGGATGACAGAGATGACAAGGTAATTATCTTTCCTAGCACTTGGGTATCTGGGGATGGGAGAATTTAGACATGACACTGTTTTTACAGACAGTTAAAAAAGGAGTTGAAGTGTTTTAGTCCAGAAAATTGGACAGAGCTGTTTATCATCCTAACAATGCTACAGTGTGTTGCAGGAAAGGGTAGAGGACTATAAATCCTGCCTTTTTTCTTTTTTTTTTCTCCTTTTTTTTTTTTTCCCCTTGGTCCAGAGCTGGGTCAAATATTTTTTATGCCAGGAACAAAAATAATTCAGCCTGTCTGGAACTTGATAGCTTTTGTGAAGATAACTGCAGTGACAACTGTTTCTGAAGGACAAAAATTTGTCCTATCCTGAGTATTACAAATAGGGCTGCACTTTAGGGGACAAATGGTGTAAAAATAGCAACTCCGTACTGGTTAAAGATGGGATATCGACATCTATGATTTAAAAAGAACGACTGAGGTGTTTTGTACTCTGTGTGACCTTTAAATAATCACAATTCTGATAGCCATCCACTGGATTTGGAGCTGCAGGGTGGCCCAGCGAGCCGGGACGTGGTGGTGGGTGGTTCAGTGGTTCAGTGCAGAGGCTGCTGGCTGGGCTGAGGATTTTAGGCACAGCAAATAACATTTCCACATCTGATTGAGCTCAAGCTCTGGCACTGCTTGGGTTGGTTGTCCCCCAGGGAGAGGGAGAAACTGGGGGGAAGAGATTGGGATGACCTTGCCACACTGAAGAAGCAGCAGGCGCTGGTGGGACGGCTTTCTGGTGGAACCAGTGCAGGTCTGGTGGGACCCCTGGTTGGTGGTATTTTCATGCCAGGAAGGAGATGTCTGTGGAAGGAAAGTAAAAAACAAACAAACATCCCCTCCCCCCCCAAAAAAAAACAAACCCAAACAAACAAACAACAAACCACAAACCAAACCAAAAACCCCCAACAAAACCCGATTCCACAATAAATCTGAATTAAAATACAGAAGATTTTTACCTTCACAGATGTTCCCCCATTTCTGTTGTAGCAAAGCAATTAATTGTTTTTGTTGGGTTTTTTTATTGCTGTTATTTTTTGTTTTTTCAGAGATGAGAAAAACAGTGTATTTTAATTTATGCCCTTGACCTTTGTTTCTAGTTGAGATGTACAGTTATATACCACTGTAAGATTTCATATGCTGGCAGCAGCACTTGAAATGTCAGAAAATTCACCGTGATTAGTTAATCCCCTGAATGATTATTTTTCTGTTAGCTAACACCTCAGATCTGAGAGGAGATTAAAAAAAAAAAAAAAAAAAAATTTTCCTGTTTCCATTGCCAGCTCAAACATTTTAGAACTGACAGAAAGTTATTATGTGAAATTCTTCTATACATCACTTAAATCGTTAGCTACATCATTTCAGAGCTGGCAAACACTGGGGTAACAAAACCTTCTTTTACAAAACACTTATGTGATGGTTTTTAACACTACTATGAGCATACACTTCTGGCAATAAAACATATGATTTATTGCAAAGGTCAGTCACGTAGCTGTGGAGAGCTGGTATTTTAACTCAACCTGCTGGCTTCGAATCATCATTTCTTTTCTGATAAACACAGACCTGCCATCCATTTGAGGCCATTTTCTCCCACTCGTTCCTGCTTGGTTATTAGAGCTGGTGAGAAAGTGTCATCCCAGTGGTGTGTGTACTCCTGGATATGGCTGCTTGTAGGTTAAGCCAGCCTCTGTGGCTAACACTTTTTGTGTGGTTTGGTTTTTTTTTTAAATTGCTAAACAAACTCCTTTAAAAGGGAGGATGAGGGTGGGGATCATCATCCCCACACAAACAATACCCCACAGTTCTCTGGTGATTAGCAGATGCTGGGCAAAACATGCCCAATTAGAAATATCACTCTAGGCTTCAATGTTGTGATCTAATATTCAGCTTTCTCAAACTGACACCAGAGTTCAAACATTTTTCTATGTCTAGTTACCAAGGTTGAATAAAAGCAAGTGCTGACATTACCGGGTGCATTCAGTGAGCCCTTTTATTGAATATTTAAGAGCTGTCTTTCCATACAGAAGGTGTTTAGGTTGATTTTCATAAATTCAAAGCTGTCTTTGTTACTGCAAACATTTTGAGTCCTCGTGATTGAATGTGCTGTTTGAATGGAAAAGAAAATTGCCCTTTTTCATATAAGCGTGTATGGACTGCCACGTATATTCAGAACTCTTTGCAGTGGGCATTATTTGGCACTGGGCTAAATGTAAGCACATAGTTAGGACTGAGATGTTTGTTGTTTGCTGGAGGGGTGTTTTTTTCTCTTCTGGTGCACTAGACATGCTCTGTTCACTGCTGCTGCTCCTCTTACCTCTTTTTGTCAAAACGGAAGGATGCAGTTCTGCACGATTTTAATTCATGCACGTGTTTTCTTAAAGCTTATGTGCAAAGTGAAGTTTTGTGAGGAAGCAAATGCACATTTTTCTAGCACCAGCTGGTAGTGGCCTCTGGCTTTTATTACCCCTCTGCTTTTTCAGATAGTATAGTATAAAAGTCAGGTAAATGGGTCTTCTTATGCAATAAAAGTAAAAAGATTAATACATATGCCAGAGCCTCACTTTAATTGAAACTGAAGCATATGTTGCAAGAATGTAAAATATGTCCCAGATGTTTGACCATGGCCAGTGTCTTTGCTCTCCCTGATTACCACAAGGCAGCTATTAGTCCTGTAACCTTTGGACTTAACAGCAAATGGGGTATTACATGGCACAGAACTGGAGCACCTGTTTCCCATTCAGCAAAGACCCCTGGCAGGCTTTCCCTAAGCCCATCCATATGTTTCCACTTAGCAGATTGTTGGGCGATTATGAAAAGTGTTCTTTCTTTAGAGCCAGCTTAGGAGTTAGTCACTTGCTCCCAGGGAAAAGGGCAGCTCTGGCCACTTGCTCTGATGTAGGTTTTGGGACGTGTGGTGGAGACTTTGCTCAACATCATCCCCGAGCTGCAGAGTTACAGGAGCAAGTAACTGAGGGTGATGAATGTGTGTCATCAGTTAAAATAATGCCTTTTGCTAGTAGTGGTGTGTACTGCTGAGAGGAGTTTGACAAGTTAGATTTGCACTTGCCGTATTACTTAGTCTCCTTCTGATGTTCTGAATTTTAGTCACTTGTTTTTCAGCCTCTGCTGCAATAAAGGTAGGCAGGAGTGTCAGTTTCAGGTCACAGGGTGTTTCTTTGTTTTTACTGGAGAATATTTTCTTTCATCTTCAGTTGCAATATGACTAATAAGCTGAAATGGCAAGTGTACATCTTGTATCAGTTACAAAGTGGTGCTTAAGAGTGGAACACTTTTTTTTTTCTAATTTTACTTCTTTGTCATATTATATATTTAGGAACTGAAAAAGATACTGCAGTTTCCTTAGCTCAGGCATTGGCCCTTACTTTAATACTAATTTTTCCAAGAAATAGCAGTGGATTCTGCTTTCCATGTGTTCTGTACTGCTCGATAAACCTACACCAGCCACAGATTTACAGTTTAATCTGATTTCTTTCTCCTCGTTTTTGGCTCCCTTCCAAACACTGGCTTACGCGGTCTCTTAGCAAATAGGGGTCAGTTAAATTATATTAAGTCAAGTTATCAGCAGACTATCAAACAGATTTTTACGCAGTTATGTTATGATAATGTAGTGTTCAATGTGCATCATCTACCTATTTATGATGTGGGTTCGTCTTTGGAGAAGTTCAGGTGCACTTTTCACATGGCTTTAGATAAGGTTTCAGAAAACCAGGGAGAATTTCAGCTGAGGATTTTGCAGGAAGCCCCTCAGCCCCAGTGAGCAATGCTGCTATGGCAGGTGTGCCATCCCTGGCAGTGTTGAAGGGCAGGTTGGATGGGGCTTGGAGCAGCCTGGGCTGCTGGGAGGTGTCCCTGCCCATGCAGGGGTGGGACTGGATGGGCTTTAATCTCCCTTCCAACCCAAACCAGTCTGTGATTTAAGTGGAGGATGATGAATGGTGTAAGCACTGTTTTACTTTACCTTGTCATTAACAGTAACGGTATTTTATTAATACAAAACATTCAGATCACTTGCACCCTCAGCTGATCTCCAGGCTTTCACGCTTTGAAAAAAACCTTTGCAGCCTTCAATGTCATAACTAGGAGTTATAACTAGTTATGTGTTATAACTACAAGTTTTTATAATGAAAGATAGTTGAGTCAAATTAAAATATGTTTCAAAGCTTTTAACTGTCTTTGCTGAGAGACATCAACTTTGTTTTTAAGCCAAGACATGTTTGTAACCCGTCTCAGAAGCATCCCCAGTGTTTCTATCAAGAGTAGATCATGAGGAGGAAGAAGGATCACTCCAGTGTACCCTATATTTTTATATTCTCTAAAAGAGAAGATTGTAATCTACTGCAGTGGCAGTTGTTTCCTATAAAATAATGGTAGAAAAGCAATAAAGAATTAGGAGGGGAGTAAAGAGGAAAATCCAGAATTAACAAGTCCATGGATTCACCTGTAGGTTCACCATGGATTCCACCATGAAATTCCACCTGAACATAGCACCTAAATGATAACTGTAAATAAAAATCTAACAACAGCTTCCAGTGAAAACCAGATGCATCTGAAACTGCTGCTCCCTCAAAGCTTGGCAGAGTATGTGTACTGATCAAACCAGCCCACAGCAGAGCAGTCTGGAGGACCTGGCTGCAGAGGCTGCAAACTCCTCAGTGCACCTTGGTTTCCACACAGAGACAGTGATAGAGGTGTGTGGTTTCTATCAAAACTTTAACAAACTTGTAAGTTATAGGAGGGAAGATGATATAGGCTGTCTCAGCCCCCAAACTGGAGCTGGGGGTGTTTCTGGTCATTGGATCACCCCAAAGCTGCAGCTGTGGAGTTACTCTTGCCTGGATTTTTCCTGGTCACATGGAGCCTGTGCACAGGAGCTTCTGCAGAGAGCAGTTTTTATCCTGCACTGATCAAAAATAGTGGAGTAAAAAGAGCATTAGTGAGATCAGAATCTGA